AAACTTTCTCTTAGGAAACTTGAAGAAAATTAATGAAAATACTTACATGACCTAAAAAACACACACATGTTTCAACAAGGAGAGAAACATCAACTTACATGGGCCATGTTTTTAGGCCTGCAAGAGCTGATCAAACTTCCGGGTTCCTCTACCAGAAAAGCAGAGTCCAGAAAACCCAGACCTGGGAGAAGAGAAAGACCCTGAGACCAGATGTGTTTTAGTGTTTGCCCACTGGACTCAAGTTAATATTATCACTTATGCTCTTCCATTCCAGACTCAGAATCACCTCGCATCACACACAACTTGGATAAGTTAGGATTCCAGACAGATCCATTTCCTCACTCAATTCCCAGGGACCTCAGCTGCAGTCATTTCTGCATTGAAGCCAGATCCAAATATTCCAGTAGAAAATTTTCTGGCCAATGTACCATTGTGATGAGGCTGAGAAGAACCTGAGATTGGGCAGCTCTGTCCTGCTCTGAGCAGAACTTCCTCTTTCCATTCCCAACCTCAAGAGAGAAAAAAGACCACATCATCTAAACCAGAACCTCTTTTGTGGCCTTGAAAGTGGGTGAAGTTGATCAAAATATTAGAGATGGACAAGGAATGTTCAGCAGTCTGAGTCCAGCAAGCTTACTAGTTAAATACGAGATAGACCAACATTATACTAGAATACAAAGTAGTTATTAAATGCTGAATTGGGAAGAATATTTAAGGATACAGAGAGAAGAATGGCAGACATTCATAAAACAGAAGACAGAGAAGTCTGGAAATTTATATGGCCATATATTAACAGCTCTTTATTTTTGGTTGTTTTGTATTATTCTGGTTTTTGGGTGGTGTCTTTAGAAATGAGTCACTGTGCATTTAGTTGTTTTTAGTCCATACATGAAACAATCAAATAAGACTAGTGAAGACATAAAATATGCCTTTGTCATGATCAGAACATGACATCAGCAATCCCTATCTTTTTGCTTAGATCTTCTTTTTTTTTTCAAGTTTCCTTTATAATCATTGTAACAACTGACATAGGAACTTGAAATATGTGTGTGTTTTTTATAATTTGTGAAGGTGAAGACTTCCACAAAGTTCTCTGTTCTATAAATTCAGATCATTTTACTAAATGGCTTATATCTTGTTTCCTTTGGATTCCAATACCTGAACTTATTTTATCATTTCTTCTCAGTTATGTTGGAAGTTTGGCTATAAAAAAACTGGAGAACAGTCCGTTAATAATCTCTTTTGTGAAGTGATGACAGTGTCAATACAGCTTTATTTCAGGTCTTTTTGACAGAAGAATTTATTTTGTTTCTAAACTTGCCAGTTCTGTCATGACATCATCTAGATAGTTGAATTATCTCACCTGTTAATTTAGCCATGCATCTAATATCATTAGAATGAAATCTCCAAGATACAAAAGTTATACGAAAAATCTACTTACTGCCATACAGATCCCATGTGCTCAGTGTTTGTTTATATGCTTACTGTCACTATAGTCACACTGATGTCTGTTTTAGGCAGGTCACCTAAATCTCAGCAGCGGCCTTTATCACACACTATTTTATAATTATTCCTATTCAGATTTAAAGTTCATTCACAGATTATAAGCATTATGAAGGAAGTAACTGAATCTTTTTAGTGATTGCATTACTTCAAATATTACACTTTTCAGGTCTGGAATATTTTAAACAATTAACAGAAGTATTATTTTTTTTTTTTACTACAAAATACCACTATTAGAAAGATTTTAATGGAAATAACTATAGACATTCACAAGGTATCTGCATAAGGATGTTCATCATAGAATAATTTTTGATAGTCCAAAATTAAAACATAAAAATCTCACAGCAGGCAAATAGGTTAAATGTATTACAGTCTGCTATATTGCGACATACTATGCCATTCTTAATAAGGATGATATTAAACCATAAAATTGATGGAAAACAGTACTAAAGGAATTGCCCTGGGAAGAAGGCAAGTTAAAAAGGTATGCATAATTTAAGAGGTGGCATCCCATTGAAATTAAGAAAAAGGCACTGTTTTCAGACTTTTAGGAAGTGATATTGAGCTTTGAGCTGTGAGAGTTAATAATATTTCAATGCAGATTTTCTCATCAGCAAAGCAGGTATAAGAGTATCACATATGACATATGACTATTTTGAAGACTAGGCAAGGTAATCCATATAAATATAAATTGTATATTATGTTGATTAATGTAAATTATCTGTCATTATTGAAGAAGAAAATCATTCTATGTTCCTTAATCTTTTATTATAAAAGGAAGTTAATTCTGGTGCTTCCTGTTTTTGTTATATTAAAACTTATGCTTCTTGGACTTTCTCTTATAATTCTAATATTTAAAATTTTAGGCGCTACATTTGATAAAACAGATTTCTGCTTAATAAAATCATTAATTAAAAAGAGAGAGAGACTGGGAGATTATCAGACAGGAAAAGAGAAAATGATCCCTTCCTCAGGCCCCAGGAGCTATTGAGAGCAAGAAAAACTGTTCAGAATCATAAACTTGTTCAAAGAACAGTATGATAAAACTGAGACTACTAACTAGAGAATGAATCTCATTCTCTGCACAATATAGAGATTTATGTGACTATAAATATCTTTATTTTCTAGTATAATAACTATGTTTGGAAATATAGTTTGCACTTGCAAGACACCTGGAAATCAGAGATTAGTCTTATTTTTTCTGAAAATAATCTTAAATCTCTAAATTATTAACTCTGAAAGAATGTCTTACTTAGTAATATGGTGCCCTGGTAATTAAGTTTAAAATAACATTTGGAATAACTAAAAGGTATAACTACTTGTGATGCTTTTCAAACAAGATTCTCTGCCTGTCCCTCTTCTCCCTACATATACAGAGGTATAAAGAAACCTATCATTGGATTAGATTTCTTTTTTGAACTAAGAGCTGGACTCTTTGTCTCCTTTATTTGATCAATTTTATTCTGCTCGCACCAAAAAAAAAAAAAACCCACACGAAAATGGAAAAATAAAAACTGGAAAAATATATACCAAATTCTTAAAGTTATTATCTCTAGGTAGGGAGATTATGGGTAATTTTTGTTTTTTTTTTCAATATATTCCTTAAGGAAATGAAATTTTTTTTTGCAGTAAGCCTGCATTAACTCCATCATCATAAATAAAATACAAAGATATTTCAAAGTATTATAAACATTTATAGACATCACTTTGAGAAGAGGCTATGTTTTCTTCATTTAAAAAATTTATAAGTTAAAAAAATTGTAAATACTCGGCCTACAACGAAAAAAATCAACGTGATTAAAATAAATACCACTTACCTGTTCTTGAATATCCTTTAGCTGTCCTGCACTGATATAATTAGAGACATTACACTATAAGTACTCTAATGGAAAGGGAAATTGCCTTTGTAAGTTAATGTGAATATGCATGCCAAATAGGTTCAAAAGTTCTGGGTACGCAGAAAATAAAATGCTCAAAAAAAGTGGCTAAACGCATTCATTCTTCTCTGAAAAACCAAAACTATCATTTTGGATATAACCATTGCAAAAGTTTTTACAAAATTTTCTTTTTAAAATAAACTGCACATACAATTTCAAATTTTCTTGATTACTATTATTTACAATATGAAGATTGTTTAACATAGGATCATAGACATTTTTCCTTGTAATGACTAGTTCTTATAAACAAAAATATTATTTTCTACATAATATTCTATCTCATGGATGTCATGTGATTTTCTTAACCATTCTAATTAGTATAATCATGAATTTTGTGCAAAACCATCCCAAGGTACAACAATCTTTGACTGCAGATCAATTACCCAGGTTTAATCTTTTCAGTTACGCACACCTTTGAAAAATATATTTTTACAAATATATGCAGTAATTCTATACAATTACAAGGGGTTTGTGGTCACCTGTAAGCTCCAAAATACAAAGGACTCCTGATTCAAAATTCTTGTTCTGAATAACTAGAGTCCACCTAGTCCTCTGACATTCAAGCACTCATCACATTAACTTTACATGTTCAATACTGATTTAATGAAATCTGAAGGGTGAATGATATAGAATAAAGACAGAATTGAGCACTTATTATGTTCCATCCTCCAGGGCTACTACACCCGCTGTGACTATATATATATATATTACACAGTAATCTGTGTTAGGGTTCACAGCAGCGTTCTGCCATCAGAGCTCAAGAAATACTTTCATTCTCAAGTACATTCAAGTACTTAAATGAACCCCAGAGAACTTCCAGAGAGAGTTATCCGAGGAAGGAATCCTATTCTTGGAGTCTCTATCCATACGTTCCTAGGAGCCTGTCTCTGGGGCAATTCTTTATTTAAAATTCCAATCTCAGCAGCTGGTGTGTACTTTCTTGCCGGAAGGTGTCCTGCAGGACTGAAGACCAGATTACAAAATTGCGCCCGTATCTTTCGGGCAGGCGAACACGTTTGAGAGAAGACTAGAAGCAGCAGCGCCGACAAAGAGCTGTATGTCACATGACAGCTCTGAGCGGCTGTGATCCACGCTCACAAAAAAGGACATGCACCCGGTGTCTCCGTCACACGAGAACGAACACACACTTTCACAGTCTCACAATCGCACCCACCCTAAAACAGATAAAACCACCCTCCCGCGCTGCTCAAGCGCCCACCGACGCGAGGGGGCGGGAGGACACCGCAGCGGCGCTCGGGGCTTCCACGCTTTAAGCGCCTCCCGCGAAACCCCTCTCATCGCCACTCACCGTCCCTCGAGGGCTCCCGCTCCGTCAGCACAGTCGTTTCCGCTGCCACCCAGGCAGCTTTTTTCCTGGGACGGGTGCTACTCACGCGCAGTTCGCAACAACGGACACAAAAAAAGGAGCTCGAGGTAGAAGTCACCTCGCGGACTACGGGACGTTGGGTCCCGAGTCGTAAAAGTCCCCGAGCAAAGCGGCCGCCCCGGGGACTTCTGGGAGTGGCCGCTGGGCTGCGCGTGCGCAGTGCGGATCTCTGAAGCGCTGACGGTCCTACCTGAGGTGGTTCCCAGGGCCAGGAGGAGGCGAGTCCGGTGACACTGCACTAGCGAATTCTGAGAAGGGGACTGCGGAGCTACTGTTTTCTGAGGTCTCAGCCCTTCCTGCGTGTGAGGGGTCCGCCCGGTTAAATCAGCAATGTGACGCCGAGGGCCATCGAATGCGAGCTCTTGAAGGTGAGTTCATAACCCAGTCAAACTGTGTGTGTGTGCACGTGAATGTATCCCTTCCCTTAAATTAGGACTGTGGAGCTCTTCTTTTCAGAAGCCTCAGGCCTGTATGTGAAGTGTCCGCCCTGTTGAATCAGTGGTATGACTCCTTGGCCATCACGTCCTGTCCTTGATGTGAGCACTTGAAGGTGGAATACTGGATCTTTTATGTCCCCTGCAGTAATGACAACCTATTCAATAATACATGGGAATGATAACTTTTAGCACCCCGGTAAAGGCCTAGGTTGTCCAATAAAGTGTTAAGTTGACTAACATTGTACATGGGTGAAGTCACATTACATTTTCGTTACATTTCTTCGTACTTAGACAAATTAAAAATTGACTGGATAATTAAAACTGGCAATATTCAAGATCCAGGGTATATGTGTGTATTCTACAAATCATTAAATTGAGAAAACAGACAAAAGAAATAAATAGGAAAGTCAAGTCACAGTAACATGTTTGGCCAAAAAATACAAGATACTTAGTGGGCTAGTTAAAAAATAAATTTTTAAGTGGACAAGTGGGTTACAGTCCCTACATTGCCAGTTGATCAGATTTTAAATTACAACAGTAAAGAGCACTATTTAGTAAAGGTCCGATTGTATAAAAGCCATGACTGCAGTTATAGACTGTTGTTTACAAATTACATCTGACACTCACACTATTCAAGCTAGAGTTTGACTTGAGTGAAAAATTGTTGTTAGCCTAAATAGTTATCAATTGAGTTTTAAAACATTTAGAAATATTCCACACAGCTTCAGCTGGAAGATTTTTCATTTTGCAAAAAGTAACAGTAGTATGTGTTCAGAAAAAGCCTACTAATTACATATCATGTGAGGTGACTGCTGTCCCACTGGGGCTTAATCACATGACACAGTGAAATTGACCATAAGTCTGTGGGTTTTTTTCTGGGCGCTCTATTCTCTTCCATTGATCCATATGTCTGTTTCTGTGCCAATATCATGCTGTTTTGATCACTGTAGCTCTGTAGTGTTGTCTGAAGTCTAAGAGGGTTATTTCTCTGGCTTCATTCTTTTTCTTCAGTATTGC